TCCAGGAAATAAACTTCAGCAGTCTGTGTTCTTCCATTGTAGGACATTACTCATTGCATATTGTCCTATTTTACATTTAAATTACTTCAGAAAAATGGTAAGCAACCCTGAACAATAGTAAATTCTAACTGGTAAATTGAGAAAATGTAAACATTTCCCATTGAAACTATGAATGATGCTTTTTGAATCTTTCAAATAGGTAGGACTCAGTACTGGTTAGGTTTTAAGGAAACAAACATGGCGACTTTACCCTATGACCTGGTTGGGAAGGTGAATCTGCATACATATGCATAACAAGATGCCTTTTAATACTGGATGGTCCAGATGAATGGTATTTTTAAAGAATGAGGCTTTCTTCTCACTGGAAAAAAATGTGACATTGGCTATCTCTGAAAAATTCCCCCATTATATAAGAAGCCAGAAAAGCAATGAATATTAATTCATTCAGGTATTAATTATTAATTCAGGTATATAATATGGCATGCTTTGATTTTGGTTTTAATATTTGGCACTGCAAAATCAATTCCTCTATATATGTTGTTTCATTCTCATAGTCAATCAATAGAGGGTTTCCGCTCTTGAAGAAAAACCAACTCCAAAATCTAACAAAAAATGTCTGTCGGAAAGTGCCATTTTTTGTCAAATGATTTTTATAAGACTCTCATAAATCACAGGTAGGATTAACTGTCTAGAGGCTATTTTCCCAAAGTAACACATTCTGTATGAGATTTGGAGACATTACTACAAGATTTAGGACTCACCTACATGATATGAAGAATTGGTAAACATGAAATATGGTCTGTGAAAACAACTGCAAATTTGAAAACACAACAATTTGTGAACCTATAATTAAAATGAAGATAGGTGACAATGAGGCAACAAAATCAAATGTTTAGTGTGGTTTATAATTACCGGTTAAGCCATCCAATGTAATCTGTAAAATTAAATGAGACAGTGAAACTCAGTGTAAAGAAATTAGGACCAGGTCTAGGACACAGTAAGCATTTCATTAATTGTAGGTATTGATGGTTTTACATCAGTACTGGTAAGGAGATGGTTTGTTTACAGGCTTACATTTTCTGGTAATTAAGAGTATAAAAAGTCCTTTGTTCAGGTGAGTAAGTCGAAAACTGCAACTATACAATTTATACATTTTTACTTAGAGTAACTAGATAGATTGTCAACTCCTCCTCTAAAAGGGCAGTGCAGAACATAACCTGCTGGGAATGGGGTCCTGTCCTCTTGTCATGACCAACACAAAACAACAATCCAGCCTATTTATTAAAATTTCAGGCTTTTAACATTTTCTTCATCTCCACTTCTTAAAACCATTGGGTAGCTTTTAAAAACTCCTATGCCCAGGCCCTACCCAAAATGAATAATCAGAATCTATATAGGTGTGGCCGTGGCATAGGAACTTTTAAAAACTGCTAAGAGATTCCACTGACTAGACAAGATTGGAAAAGACTATTCAACAGGACTACAAACTTATCTAGAGCAGAAACCATTTTCAGTAACCAGTTTTTGTATTTTACATACCATGTTTCCCTGAAAATAAGACATTGTCTTATATTTATTTTTTCTCAAGAAGACATACTAGGGCTTACTTTCAGGGGATGTCTTATTTTTATTAAGTATAATACAACAATCTACATTTATTCAAATACAGTTAAGTCATCTTCTTCTGGAACCTGACAGGGAGAGTCAATCTTGTTGGTGGGGCTGGCGCTAATGATGCATGAACTTCTTTCCCCTAGCCATTTGCACCTGCGCAATAGGATGTCTGTGACCATGATTACCACACAAGCACCCTTGCACCTTGGCAAGTGCCAAGGGCTTGGAGAAAGGAGCTGTGGCAGATAAAAGGTATTTCAGTCTCCCTTACTGGTCCGTGTTGAAATGCATGGTGTGGCTATGCAGATATGCTGCATAGCCACGCCCATCACTAGGTCTTATTATGGGGTAGGGCTTATATTTAACAAATGCATAGAAATCCTGCTAGGGCTTATTTTGGGGGTAGGTCTTATTTTTGGGGAAACACGGTAGTATACAGCATTAGTACTTTTCACTGAGCTCTCTGCTGAATAATGTACAAAAGAATGAATGAATGGACAAATAAATGAGTATTTTATTTAGCCATGATATGGAACTGAATAGTCCTAGGACTGAAATGTAATAGAATACCTTTCTATCTCTGTTTTCTAACTTAATATGATTCACTCCAAAGTTTAGATATTCAACTTTCCCACGTTTTTCTTGATAGAAATACATCCACCCAGTTTATGATGGGCCTTGGATAGAACATTATAAAGACAGTATTTTTTCAGATTACACTGAGATGATCATGGTCTTCTTCCTATGTATAAATGACTGGAGTTAAGAGATTTTCCTTTCAACAGCTCATATTCCTCCACATTACACCACACTGCTTTGACTGTACATACTCCATATGAGAGAAACTGGGCCCTTGATTAAGTACAGGAAGGCACGTGTCCATGTATTTGGTTTTTCCTTCAAAGTAGAGAAAAACCATAGGCCTTGAGAGCAAAAAGGGAGACATCATTGTCTCCCAGGTTTCAAGATGCTGATAATGATAATTTCAGCACTGAACCATTTCATCTCATCTTCCTAATATCCACAGGGCTGTCAAACAAGAATCAGTTATTAGACCAGCCTGAGTAAGAACAAGACCCTGTCTTTAAATAGCTGGGGGTTGTGGTGGGTGCCTATAGTCCCAGCAACTTGGGAGGCTGAGGCAAGAGAATTGTTTGAGCCCAGGAGTTTGAGGTTGCTATGAGCTATGACACCACGGCACTCTACAAAGGGCAACAAAGTGAGACTGTCTAAAAAAAAAGAAAGAAAGAAAGAAAAATCTGTTATGGATTCTAATAAAATATCTAAAAATCAAGGTTTGAAATGATGCAATACATTGCTAATAATTGTTGGTTTGATGACAGAAATTTAAGTTTAGAAATGTTTAATTTAAATCTAAAAGGCTAATTATTGTAGATATTGTAGAAGGCATATCAAATATTAGCAAGTGCCATATTAGCAACTGCAATTGAATTTTGAAAGCTGATGTTATAAATCACAAAACTTCATTTAAATTTTATTATAAGACCTTAATTAGGAGGAAGAACACATTTTCTATTTCTTACTTATTTGGGGCCTTGAAGGACTTGCAAATGGGGAGAGGAATTCTTTTTTCCTTACTTGCTCCTTCTTCTCACCCCAACCTCCACCATACCAATCTTGAAGGTAGAGGAAGAAAACTATGTTTTGGCTATTTATAAAAATGATAACAAGAAGAAAGAAAAACAATGGCTTAAGAGCAAAAGGAAGAGGATATAAAGAGTACAAAGCCAAGAACCTGGAGGAATCTTGCATAGTCAACTAAGCTAGCAATATTAATTTTACCATTTCCTATAGTCTTAGATTTCTCTTCCCAGGTCTCTGCTTTCACTTGACTGGTGCTCTCAATTGCAGGGCAAGACACATAGCTATGGGAAAGTTGCAAATAAGGGTTGGCAGTTAACTTGCACTAAAAGGGTGTGTAGAGCAGCAAAATGTTTTCAGTATTGTCCTTGGCTCCAGAAACAAGTGGAACAGATGAAGAGCTTCCAGGCCCCTTTGTTGGGAGGGCCCTGGCCCTAGTGCGCCAGGCTGCTCTCTCCTGAGAAGGTAAATATTGCCCACTCTTACTTGGACTTCTCACCAAGGCCACTGGCCCCAGGAATAAATGCTGGACCACAGCCAAGAGATCCTAAATTATCCCAACCACCAGGAGATCAAGTTGTGCGTTTCCGGCTGAGGAGGTAATGTGGGGGTCGGGAGGGACACAAGTGGCGATTTCCTCATTCCACTTACCGACTGGAGAAATGGGGAGGCGGACTACAGGTCTCCCCCGTCGGCCAAGAGCATTATTTGGCGTACAGCTATAAAAAAGAGAAGACTCCCATGAAGGTCAACTAGCAAACCCTCATGTTTTCCTTCCAGCCTGACCATGTGCTGGTAACTGCTTTCTTATTTACCTTTCGAGTAACCCCTATTGTGAGTCCCCAAGGCAGCCTCAACCTTAGCAAACCCTCCAGTGGAGTACGTTATTATCCAGAGGTGCGGGCTGAAAGCGCGCGAGGTGTAACTCTTACGGTCCATCTACCCACAGCGGGCGGCTCTTTGCCCAGCATTCGGCTCGGGTACCCAGGACCGCTCACTGTGCACAGAGGGGCCACGCTCCCTGCGGCTTCTCGGACCCCAGGAGCAGCGCTGCTCAGAAAAGTCACCTCCACAACCGGCCGGGAATAGGGGGCGGGGGCGCAGTGACAAGAGTGGGGACAACAGCCGAGGAGGGGGTAGGGGGGCTCTGAGACAGGGGTGGGGACGGCTGTGGAGGGGAGTGGGTGGTGCCGGGGAGGGCCGGGGGCGGGGCTGCGGGGCGGGGTGCTCCATAGCGCCCCCTCGCTGCACACTCCCCGCGGTGCCCAGAGGCCGCCAGAGGCTCGGGCTCGCCAGTCCCTTTGTGTGCGACTCACTGGCCCACAGGAGTGCGGTTTGGGTTCAGCGGAGGCTCCCACGGGTCCTGCCGCTTCTACCCATTTCTATCCGCTCTCTCCTCCTTCTCTTTCTCCTCCTCTTCGTCTCCTCCCTCCTCGGGTTCCCGGCCGCGAGCAGTAGCCATTGGGCCGCGAGCAGCCCGAGTCCCGCCGCTCTCCCCTCCCCGCCCGGCTCGGGGCGCTCTCCCGCCTCCTGATCCCCCAACCCCCATCCCGGGCCTCCAAGGTGGAGAAAATAAACTACCAGCAGAGTAACTCAGAGTCTCCAATAAAACGCCCAGTACCTAGAGCCCGAGCGCGTGTTCCGGGCGCTGAGGGGCGAGGGAGGCGGGGATGGGGGGGCAGGCGGGGGGACAATGAGCGCATGAAGTTACCTGCCCGGCGGCGGCGGCGGCGGCGGCGGCGGGACCGAGAGGCGGCGGCGGAGCAGGCTGCGCGCTCGGCGCCGACGGGTGCGCGCCGCGGCTTGGGGGAGAGTTAAGCGCTTTTCCCCCCTTTTTTTTTTTTTTTTCTCCTCTTCTTCTTAAACAAACCACAAACGGATGTGAGGGAAGGAAGGTGTTTCTTTTACTCCTGAGCCCAGACACCTCTCTCTGTTCCGTCTAAGCTTGTTTTGCTGAACACTTTTTTTAAAAGGAAAAGAAAAGGAGTTGCTTGATGTGAGAGTGAAATGGACGTAAGATTTTATCCACCTCCAGCCCAGCCCGCTGCTGCGCCCGACGCTCCCTGTTTGGGACCTTCTCCCTGCCTGGACCCCTACTATTGCAACAAGGTGAACGCTCTGCTTTTGTTTCCACGATGTTCTCGCTGCGTGATCCCGGGAGGGGGGCGGCGGCGGCCGGGCCGCGGCGGGGCCGGCTCGGCTGAGGCCGGTCCCGGGCGCGCTCGGCTCGCAGCCGGCTGCAGCCCTGCGTGCGCTACGGTAGTAAATATTGTGGAGTAGCTCCGGGGGTTTGCCAAACACCGCGATTGTGCGGAAAGTGACACGATTTGCTCGGATTCTTTCCTTCCTGCTGTTTGTGAATAAGGATCCCTGTCTAGGTTTGCCGGGGGGCGTTTAAAAAAATAATAAGAGAAAAAACACGGAATACTTTGGGGGTGTGTCTGGGGTCCTGGAACGGAGGCAGAGAAAGAGAATTCAGTTTATTTACCCGTTCCCCCTTCTCCCTCCCTCCCTCTCTCAGGCTGTGGGAGCTTGTAGCACCGCTTCCCTGCCCGGGATTAGTTTTGCCAGGGAGCAGCCGGGAGTCGGGGTGCAGGGACCCGGGAGGCGTCCCCACCCCCTACCTGGAAAAGTGCCCCACAACTCTTTTGTTTTCCCAAACCGGTTCCGGAGGCCGAGCCTTGGGGTTCGGACGCTGATCCGCGGACCGGAGGACTGTGCTGTAGCCGGGTCACCGGTTGGGGAACAGCTCCAGTTTGGGGGGTGCGCGCGGAGATTGCAACTTTGTTGGGAGCTGAACGAGCGTATTGCATTCAGGTCCAAAGATCTCACACTTGGCACGAGGGGTTGGAGTAGGGTCCTAGATAGAGTTGTACCCACCGCCCGCGAACGTAGGGTGCCTGGGCAGAGGGAGATGGGGGGGAGGAGGACCAAGCCGGTGACCCGAAGGTGGGGCTCCAGCGGGGGCTACTGCAGACTTTTGCTGGGTCCACGGCATAGAACAGAGACTACTTATGGAGGGGATTAATCTCTGGGCTTCTCAAGTGGGAAGACACAGAAGAACTGGTCCCCCAGAGCAGCTGCAGGGTCACGACTGTCCCCTCCGCGGGCTTGTTAGACGTGTCTAAACAGTCCGGCCGGATGAACGCTGGCGGGGAGAATTGAGTTCTCTGAAACCCTGGGCGGACCTTTTAGATGCTCAGCACTTGCTTGACGAGAAATCCGCCTGATCCAACCCCTTTAGACACTTCCATGTCGACCCCTCAGTATATTCCACAAGAAAAATCTTGGGACTCCCAGCGTTTGCCTGGTGTCCAACTGTCACCAAACACTTTTTTTTTTTTTTTAAGTGTACAGTGGTATTTAGCGTGCTGCTTTCTCAGCCCCTGGCTCGCCACTTTGAGACCCACTTGCAGCTCTGAGTCTTGGACAATCCTAACGCGCGCGCGCACACGCTCACTTCCCTGCGGAGAAGGTCCTCTATGCTGTGTACAGTGTAAGGCGTACTCAGAGGGCTGAGGTGTGTGCCCATGGCATTTAGGCAAGTTAGAAAAGAGGGAAATCTTGTCTTGGGCAAGGTAGAAACGCTTTCATCACACAGGAGCCCTTTACCTAAGGGCAAGTTGAGAGGTTGGCAACAGAGGAGTTTGTGTGAATCAAGTTTCATTTTTTACTGGGAACGTAGTTCTTTCAGTCTAAAATCTGTTTTGCCTGTACACTCAATTATTTTGTTACGTTTTATTTTTTATTTTGCTTATCACACCAATACTATTACTAAAAGAGAATAATAATAATAAAATAAAGTAGTAGCCCATTCTTGGAGAGTGGATGCATCCTGCGGTAGTTGCCGGAACCAAAAGCCCAGAACCATTTGGGTAATGAAACTGGACAAATCTTATTAAATGTATCAGTGATTTTGGGGCTCCAAAAAGAAGGTAATGTGTTGGATACACATTTCATTTGCCATTCTTGTGATAGTAAGGTCAGATTTAATTTAAAAGTTAAATGCTTTGGAAAATCAGGAATTACCTCAAAATATTAAATCATTTTCCAATTAATTGCTTTAAGTAATTTTAGTGGGTTGTGCTGTGAATTGAATAAATTAATTTAGAAAGTCTTCAGAATTTCTTTACTAGCTCATTGAAGTTCCTTTTAAGTCATCCCCTATAAGAAGCAAACTGTTCTTTTTAAATGCAAATTAGCACCCCTTTCTACAGACTAGTTGCAAATCTTCTATTTAACTTACCCAGGGAATAGTAGATTTTTAAAAATGCAAAGTCATAAGATATGCTTCTAATAGTAGGAAAAGACTTCATGGAAATGGTTCGCCAGGTACATGTTCCCTGGCCCATCTGATGAAACAGTCCATCAGAGATATTTGTCATGGATCCCTGATTATATTAAATGTACTGGGTACTTTCTAGGCCCTGTAAAGCCCAGGCACTTCAGTTTTTTACTCCACAGTGATTAGCATTGGTGCACAATTTCTGTCTAGATCCATGATTTTAGCTGCTTAGAATGTAGTCAGCTAGCATTCATTTTTGCAGTGATTCAAGTGGATTTGCATAGGAGACAGAAGAAGGGCAGAAGTTTGGAAGAGATGGAGTAAGAAATCTGTATCTGCACTTAGTAAAAATAGGTTGTATCAGACATCCTCAAAGAGACAAGACTGCAAAGTAAACTTTGTCTTCTTCAGAGGTGTAATGAATGTGTAGTTTATTACAAATAACAGTGACTTTGTCAGGTGATTTGTTTTTAATAGGGTGATAAGATCATAAATTACTGATTATCTTTATTTTAAACCTGCCAACACTTTGCTATTTAAAGTTGATGTGTTAAATCCCAGAGAAACCAGTATCTTTGTGTATTTTAGTATCCTGATACTGTAACTACAGTTTTCCAGTGACATCTTTTCAAATGTCAGAAGAGATCCTAATGGAGAAAATGAATATCCTCTTCCTGAAGCTTTTCTAAACTAAAATGTGATTGTTTTACTTTGCTGACACTTTCCAGTACGGCCGTCCTATAGATTGCCAAAGCACTACTTACATTTATTTTTCAGTTAATAAACTCTGTAGGAGGCATTTTTGGAAACAGTTTAATCTAACATTGCTCTATTGTAACAGCACATTACATGATGAACATATCACTGTGCAAACTGCCCTCCATTTTCACATAGCCCATTGAGGGGACAATGCGAGTGATGGTTATGGCAAGTGTGCGAGGCGTCTCTCTTATACAAACAGCCAGAACGGATGGCATGTTGCTGTATATAGGTCAGTCTTTGAAATAGCAATGTCACTCATAGACTGGACAGACACATGTAGGGGAGAGGTAATAGTGTTCACATCTTGCACCTTACAGCATGATTATATTTCAGACACTGAAAGATGGATACCATAGTGGAGTTTCATCTAATTAGACTATTTTAAGTAACAGTGTATCCCTTAATTGAACTGAGTGCTTCCCAAAGAAATCAGATTAAATAAACTCACAAGTGGAGTTCGGTAGTAAAATACAGTCCTATTTTTTGTTCTGGTTGAAGATGTCAGATTATCAGTTTAAATCCATACCTACAGAGTACTAACAGTTCCTTTCAGTTTCTTAGCGCCATGTCATTTCCAAAGATCGTTTTCACTGATTTTATGCTAAAATAGGACAAAGAAGTAGCACTTTTTCATTTTTACAATGATGTGATGTGTTCAGTTATTGCTCAGTATCTGCCCACATAGAAGTAGTAATACAATTATGTTATGAAATTGCTAATGACAGGGATGGTGACCTCGGCAACAGTGGGAGGGGAAATGATAGGCTTTACTGTTCTCAGTGGTTGCCTTTGCGGAATTATGTCCTGACTCTTTCTTTAGTTCATTTAGAAACAAGGAAGTCCAAAACACAAACTCAGACTTAATTCTATGATCTTTGGAGTAGAGAATAATGAATATTTGGAATGCTCAGCTTTTATCATTGAAATGAGAATGGTATACTTTTTCCATATAAAAGCAGGAAGAAGGACCCATCTGTAATGAAACCTGTTTGAGAATGTCAGGGCAAACATTAGACATCTGATAACTTTAGAAAATGAGACTTATTATGGGCTCTGTAAAATCTCTTCTGAGCATATTTTCCTATTTAGAGTATATTACATATTGTACTTCAATGTGGCAGTACTTATCACATCTAAAATACAGAATTTGCAAGCACGTTAAGATGGAGTTATTCCTATTTTGATTAATAAATGTAAGAAAAGGAAGAGGATGGAGGGAGGAGGGGGCAGAAGGAGAGTGGAAGAGGAGGAGGCAGAGGAGGAGAGGGAGGGTAATAAGCAATTTAGAGCATCATGCTTGATTAGTTCTCTATCCACCTCCATGACTTCTACTTTGGGAAATTCATAGTTGATACTTCATACATCATTTATATAATTAAAATTCCCCTGAGAGTTTTATTGGCTGGCACCTTCCACAAGTTTTGAGGCCTTTAAATAGGTTTTAAATAAATGCACAGACAAGAAAGGCCATAAAACAAACAATCATGGTTTGGGCCACTAAATCAGATATACAGAAACCTCAAATATAGCTATTTTGACTTTATGGGATATTACACTATTAGAAATTTTAAATATCTGTGCAAAATGAATTATGAGTTTTTTAACATAGCAAATGTGGTTTAGTATTCTCACGATTTAAAATATATTTTGAAAGTTAATAAATGATATTAAGAACATTAATATTCTGCTTATTTACAATAATTGAACTAATATTTGAATATCTAGTTGTATGCTTATTGTAGTTTTTTTTTAAATGATGTGATTGCAGGGGGATTAAGAACAGTAGAAGAGAGTAAAGCACTTAAAACTGGAAAAAGCAGGGATATTTCTAAATTTAATAAATTCCTAGGTACCAAACCTGTTGAAATCGTGTGTAGGACTGTTTCTATTGGTTACACATTTTGTGTGATGGGCTCAGTTCAAAAGGGGTAGCCTAGAAAACTGGTGGGGCAGGGAATTTTATTTAGCTATGAAGAATGATTTATTCTAATACTTTCCAGCCGTTTGCTAGAACACTAGGAAGTAGAAAAGACCCTGGGGGATATTTCTCAAATACTAATAA